AAAAGGAATAAAGGTTTTCAACCTAAAGGTTCTTATAATCAATTGACTTTATAATTTTGAAAGAAGAAGTAGGCTTTAGTAAACAAATCTGCAAACAGAAATATATATATGTACATGTAATTCTTTTTCTAGGCAAGCGTTCATGTACAAAATTCAGTGACTCAGTGGTATGCCCCTTTCTAAAATTTTTCGTTATTGATAATTAACTAAAATTTCATTTCATATGATGCATTCTAATCCTATAATGACAAAAAAAAAATATATCCTTATAAATTATATTCAATAACCTGTAGCAACCTTGACATTAATATCAAATACTCCCCGACCTTTGACATTGTCTGTTGGGTAAAGCATCTTTCCTTATAATCACTGTTAATACACTTTGTTCATGGAGCCAAAATCTGGGCACTGGACATACAGAATCCTTTTCATTGTAAATTTTTTCTGATCTACTCCTTATTGAATGCATTTTACAGATGATAAAAATAATAATATCAGGGGAGAAGCTCCAATTGTGGCAACTGCCTCATTAGATTTTTCAGCAACATCCCTTAATACTTTGCAGAAAATATTTGTTTTAAAACTAATGGTTTTTATCCCATGTTTACCCCTTTATCCTGTGGATATCACTCATTGGATATTTTTTTTGATATTTGATAAAAGGAATGTCCCTTGATTTGTGGTTGGATATGATTTTTATCCAGCTTGTGTGTTTTATCCCCTCGCCAAGGCTCAGGAATAAAAAAAAATACACAACTTGTTGGATAAAAATCATATTCAACCATATATCATGGGAGATTCTATATATATTTAACATTTAAACAAATCTATAAAATGTTGTATTTTCATATAAAATTAATAAAATATGTATTGTAGGTACGTTATGTTGCATTTCCATAGCAAAGTCTAAATAGTGCCTATATTTCTTTGTAACAAGAATAAAAAAGTAAAATGTAGGTATAAGAAATAAAATATCATTTTTTTTAGTTTCATCGGGATATGACATGAAGTTGGTGTGTGATCAAATCTACTATAACATCCTTTGGGCATTATAGAACTTGATCACCTGACCGACTTCATGTCATATGCCAATGAAACTCTAAAAATGATATTTTATTTCTTAAATGTGTTAGAAGTTTGAACATGTTGAAAAAAAAAACATTTTTTATTTAACATATTAAACCTTTAAAAAAAAATTGCAGCATCTAATGATTATATGCAAACTGAGGTTTAAATATTGAAAATGGTAAACCTTACGAAATTTCTGTCCAAGACAAGTACGATTTTTACATTCTAGGCCTAAAACCCCTATAAAAGAACAATGCAATTTTCTTCGGGTGGCTTCGCCCCCTGAACCCCCCTTCATAGCTCCTCCCTGGACCTACTGGGGGCCTAAGGTGCTCCCCACACCCCGGCTGCAATACTTTTGCCTCACTAGAATTTTAAATCAAGCTAAGCCCCTGAATATACCTACAGTAATCGTTAACACACAAGATTGTTGTGCTTACCTTGTCATTCATTTTGTAAACACTGAAAATGCAGCACGTTACAGAAGTTGTTGAATGTGAATGAATCGCTAAAATGTACATAGAAATGATACCCATATTCTTATTATTTTGTTCATCATCTCTGACATTTCATTAAAGCGAAACACCCTGAACTAATGTTGAGATCCCGGGTTTCTGATTGAACACGGTGAAAATGAAGGTGTTTACCGAAAAACCGGAAGTGCATACATTTATATTTCTGATTATATTTTAATGAATCTAATTCACTGAAAACTCCTAGAAGTATTGCTTTTTTATTATTTTAATAAGAAGGACCATTTAAGACTACTTAAGAATTATTTTCAACTTAGCTTTTGTTTTACGACTTATGCGCGTCATCATGCGCAGAAGGCGCGAATTTTTAAACCCGCGACCTGCCTTAAATCATATTTGTAATATGACCCTTGACTAAATGGACTTAAGTATTTCTCTGAAATATGCGAATGTTGTGTCATAAAAGTGTATTTTTAGCGTATAGTTGGTCCTTGCTCCACGTTTTTGTTAACCAATAAATGTATATTTTTACGCAAACTTTGAGGATAAAGTTTCAAAAAAAAAATGGAACAAAGACCCAGTCATATCGAAAAATTGTGTTATAGCATGAGAAAATGATTCTTTTTGCCCTCTTTAGTGTGTGTATGCTATTTCATAGACAAATGATTTCAATCTTTGTGAGATTTTTGCAAATTGTGGAGATTTTACATAAAGCATAATTTAATGTTAGATGAAATATCAAAGAAAATTTAGTTACAATCGAGATTAATTTTTCATCTTCATGTTTGTCGCACTATAGGCACTTCGCTCGCCTTGTTCGCCCATTTTCAAATTTAGGAAGTTGGAATGTACTTCTTGTCCCGGGGCCATAAAACTTAGTTGAGTTCACTTTTGATTTCAGTCTCACTTTTCCACCATAAATTCGTTTGGTAAAAAAGTGAAACTTAGAACATAAGTGAACTCGTCTAAGTTTTATGGCCCCGGAGCCTGGTGTATTTTACGAGTACCTTCGTTTCTTGCTGAGACTCTCCATATTATAACAGCTATCGTAGAGTAACACCCGACGATGATGATTGTAGGGATAACAAACACGAAGACAAAGATGACGGTGAAATAAACCTACAGAGATAAACAATATTTAAACTCTTACAAATATTTTACATATTGTATACTTTAATTAAATTAAAATATACTATGAGAAAAATATTTTTAACATTAACAAATCAAACGTTTTTTAGCTCACCTGAGCTGAAAGCTCAAGTAAGCTTTTCTGATCACCCGTTGTCCGTCATCCGTCCGTCCGTCCGTCTGTAAACTTTTCACTTTTTCAACTTCTTCTCAAAAACCACTGGGCAAATTTTAACCAAACTTGGTACAAAACATCCTTGGGTAAAGGAGAGTTTTAATTGTTAAAATGAAGGGCCGAGCCCCCTTCAAAGGGGAGATAATCAAGAGAAGACAAAAATTGGGTGGGGTCATTAAAAAATCTTCTTCTCAAGAACCACAGGGCCAGAAAAGCTGAAACTTATGTATGTGGAAGCATCCTGGGGTATTGTAGATTCTAAATTGTTCAATCATGTCCCCCGGGGATAGGGCGGGGCCACAATAGGGAATCCAAGTTTTGCATTGAAATATGAAGTAAAAATCTTTAAAAATCTTCTTCTCAAGAACCACTGGGATAAAAAAGCTGAAACTTATGAAGAAACATCCTGGGGTAGTGTAGATTCTAAATTGTTCAAGTCATTATCCCCAGGGGTAGGGCGGGGCCACAACAGGGAATCCAAGTTTTACATTAAAATACATGTATGTAGAAAAAATCTTTCAAAAAATTTACTTCTCAAGAACCACTGGGCCAGAAAAGCTGAAACTTATGTGGAAGCATTCTGGGGTAGTGTAGATTCTTAATTGTTCAAATCATGAACCCTGGGGGTAGGGCGGGGTCACAATAGGGTATCCAAGTTTTACATTCAAATATGTCGAAGAAATCTTTAAAAATCTTTTTCTCAAGAACCACAGGGCCAGAAAAGCTGAAACTTATGTTGAAGCATTCTGGGGTAGTGTAGATTCTAAATTGTTCACATCATGACCCCGGGGGGTAGGGCGGGGCCACAATAGGGATTCCAAGTTTTACATTGAAATATGTAGTAAAAATCTGAAAGGCTGAAACTTATGTGGAAGCATTCTGGGGTAGTGTAAATTCTAAATTGTTCACATCATGACCCTCGGGGGAAGGGCGGGGCCACAATATGTACTACAAGGGAGGAAATCATGTGAAAAACAGCAAGGCCAAAGTTACTCAGGTGAGCGTTGTGGCCCATGGGCCTCTTGTTGTAATTATAATTGTATAATTGTTTATGATTGATTGATTGATTGTATGTTGTTTTACGTCCCGTTCTACAATTTTTCACTCATATAGAGACGTCACTATATATCGACGAGAGCTTCAAATTTAGACCTTTACTCAGCACTCATGGCCATTGAGCAGTGAGGGTTCTTTATCTTGCCAACGCCTACCGTGACACGGGGCTTCGGTTTTTAAGGTCTCATCCAAAGGACCCGCAACTTTCATTTCAAAGTGCCAAGCGTCTGGCAAAGGAACAGTTGCTACCAATTTTTTTATCGACTCAGGTCAGTCGCGGCCGTGATTCGAACACACAATCTTCCGATCACGGAGCGAGCGCTCTACCGACTGAGCTACCGTGAAGGTTTATTGTTTATGAGTTTCTGATTTAACAGGATTTGATGAAACAATTTTCAGTGATCTTCAACATAGACACATGATCTTTAGTCGAATAATGAAACATCGTAAATCAATGGGCAACAATATATTCAAGTTTCAATATATTCAAATCAAGGACCTTTGGTGCGAAAATGATTTCAATATTTCATTGACCTGGGCCTTTGAAAAAATAACATTTGTTCAAGATCTGGATTACCATTACATGTATATGTAGCTCTTGAAAAAGATACTACTGAATTTTGAATCAATTCCAATCAAAGAGATTTTAAGCTACAACTCATGATTTCAAAATTTCAACGACCTATGACCGTGATATTTGAAACTTTATTTTCATTCAAGATTTTGACACATCTTTTAAGCAAAGCATATTAAATCTATTGGTATCTATTCTAATCAATGTCAATTTTGCGACATTCATCCTGGCTTGAACAATCAGCGTTCTAGAATGCAGTTCACTTTGGAATCGCTAATATTGAAGTACCAACTGCTGTCTAAAATTTGATTGCTGCAAAAACCTTATCATTTTCTAGTTAAGAAGTGGGGGTGATATTTATTAATATTTTTGTAGTTCTAGTGAAAATTTTAATTATATTCATTTCTCAAATCTCTCTTTCATTTGAAACTGTATCGATGCATACAAATGAGACTCTTATTAGTAGCATATCTTACAAAATTTCTTTTTTTTTTATTCAATATACCTTCATATCAGAATGATCCAGATCTACATTGCACTCCTGATGTACCGCATTATATTTGAAAACAATAGGTCCTGTTACAGAGACAATGACTGCTGCCACCCAACAAAAGATACATATTATTGTAGGGTTTCTCCCTGAAATTAACTTGAAGCCCCTTAGAACAAAATGATTTAAAGATAAAATTCATTTCAACATAAAATGTTTCAAACGTCATAAAATAATTGAGAACGCAGCCATATTTTCATATCAACTGCTTTTGTAATCTCCTTATATTTTACTGGTTGCTTGTAACGTATCTAAATGGTTAATACTCGATCTGTAGCAATTATTGCAGATGTCTGATAAAGTATAATTATTTCAAATTATCAGTTATAGAACTTTCCTTCACTTTCAATTTTTCACAAGTGCCAAAACAACAAAGAGTCCCTCATGTCCAATGCTCTACAGGTACTTACTTCTACTAGGTAAGCGCACCAGGTAAAAAAGTAAATGTATTCTGGCTCACTACTACTTAGCAGACTAAGCAGGTGCCAAAAAACAATAGTTCCGAAATTTTTTGGCATTTACCTCTACTTGCGAGACTCCCCAAAGGTCTGATGAGGATGTGTAGGCGATCGATACTCAGGGCTATCATGATCATGTTGGGTCCATAAATTCCAATGTTCTGATATATATATATATATATATATATATATATATATATATATATATATATATATATATATATATATATATATATATATATATATATAATTGATGTTTCCTTCCATAAAACTTTGCTATCTGAAGTATTTTTAAGAAAGTTTATGACTTAGTCATTTAATTTTTAGCAAATTTGAATTAAAACATGTACAATGTATGTTAAACTTTCCAAAGAAGTACAGTTGAAATGAGTTTTGGGAGAGTACATCTCATACATCAAACATATTTAATATTTAGGTTGTACATCGACAGAAATTTGTAAGAGAGTAACAATATGTCGAAAAAGCAATTACTTTTTTTTTTCGCTCCTAGCCATTTACACATAAGACTTTATTACTCTTATACAGTCTTAAAAGAGTACATTTTCTAAAACAAACTATAATATTTGAAATAGGTTCCTCCGTAGGGAAGTTTTTATTATACAGAAGGAAGTTCTCATGAGATCTTTTTTTGATGTTGTTGAATATTTCAAAATCTGTGGTTCACTGTTTGGAAAGTTTAAATTTAATGACTTCTGATCTTACCGACAGAAACTCTTGTAATTTACACAGTGTGTTCCCACCATAGAATATTTCATCATTCGAATGTACAGCAATTCGTGGAATCACAAAAAATATTCCACAGAGCAAATCTGAAACGACAACATATGCTTTGAACGTAACCTATTTTATTTTGTTTTTTAAAAGACTAGGAATATTTTGTCCAATTAGGCCTTTGTATAACTTTTCTACTGATAGTGTAAAATGAGGCGAAGCTACACTTATTCAGAATTTTAAATGACAGTGCTCAGGAATAGCTTATTATTGGATTTGAAAATTATCATTTACCAAGACTGTAGAATGTTTAAATAATGATAATTATAATAGTCTATAGTTAATTGTAATGAAAACTGAGACACTATGCAAACTACAGTTTAATATAGTGATAACTTTGACATTTTGATTGGCTATAGTGATCACATGGCACTGTTGTGATAACTTTGAAAACTTTTATTTTACATAGTGATATTTTAGAAATATCTTGTTATTTCAGTCATTAAAAATATTACGTTTCAAAATATCCTATACCAATAAGATAATTTCTTTATCATTTGCATTTTGTATGCATTTTCATTGCATACAAAATGAATTAAATTCTCAGGCAGATTCAACAAATATCTATGGTAAAAAAAAAAAAAGAAAAAAAATCTACAAAACTTGATGTAATATCTAAAATGTAATATTAAATGATACTTCTATCGCAAAGTGATTTCCTGTACTAATGACCTTGATATTCTGATTAACAATAGATGTAGGTCATTTGATACTTTGATTAACTAAACTGATACTTTTGATACTCTGATTTATTATAATGATAACTATAACACTCTGATTTATTAAAGTGATAACTATTATAATATAGTAATAGTAAAATACGTGTACAGTGTATATACATTATGTATAAGATATAGTAAAGTGATGCCTTTGAAACTTTGATTGACTATAGTTAGCTATAGTAAATAGTAAACTTAGTTAACTGTTGTTTATAATAGTATTTTGTCAGGAGTTCACATAAACATTAAATACATGTCATCAATTACGACATCTGAATACCAAAGAGGATTAGAAAAATGTGCTATTTGTATAAGTTTGTCAATGTTTTGGCTCATTTGGATCAATGGATTCGGGTTTAACACTCAGTTTAGCTTTAAAAAACTGTAGGAGATCCGTCAGGATCCGGTTGCACGAACGATAGTTAAATTAATTTAAAGTTAATACCACATCTAGCCATTAAATTTTTAACGAAGAGTTACATAACTGTCAGTTAAACTGTTGTTGTTCGAAAGTCTATTGAAGCTTAATTAGCTAACTCTTATATCAGATAATGCTAAAATATATTTTTAAAGATAGTTTCTTCAAATATGAATTTTTACATTGAAAGATCATTTTACATACAATATGAAAAATATAAGTACAAAGTATGTACATGTAGTTAAATAACAGGAGGCATTGATTTTTGGGAGAGGAAATTGAAAATAATAATAATAAAAAATCTCTTAAAAGTGAGAGAGGAACACCCCCCTTCCCCGTTTTACGTGCCTGAAGTTTGTGGAACTAATGTTTAATCTACTTTTCAGTAACTTGTCTGAGGTTTAAAAAGTTGTAAAATAAAGATCAAAAAGTACCTACATCTCCGCTCATATGGAATGTTTTGGTCTTGTTCTTTGTAGATAATATCGAAACATTTTTCCGCAATATATATTTGTATAATACAATCGTGCCTAAATTGAAATCAGGATCAAATTTGCATGTTCATCAAGTCAGACATATATATTATCTCTGTATAAGTTCTTCCTTCCCTCCAAACAAGTTTTGAAATGATAACAAATCCGCAATAATTGAATGTTGAATTAAATATTTAATGTACCTATGTAACCTCAGTTAAATCTGTTAGTTTTAAAAATCACAAAATTAACTAAGCTTTAACTGTTAGTTATCTTTCGTGCAACCGGTTTAACTCGTTAATTTTAATGTCACGTTAAAGTTAACGGCTAGTTAAATTTAACTAACATTCCTGCAACCGCATCCAGATTTCCAAATTAATTTCACATTATTATTAAGTTTACCTGCCACAGCCAAGTTCTTGATGAAAAAATGCATCCTTGACTTCTGACCCTCAACAATGATAACTGTAAGAACTGTGATATTGCCAACCAGGAGGATGACCAATAAAAACACCTCAAAGGTTATCTGCTCTATCTATATAAAATAGATAAAACAGATATTGTGACCATACAAAAGGTAAGGATATGACAGAATCTTACACAAAAATACATTATACATTATATCAGTGTGTGTGTGTGTGGGTGTGTGTTCTTTAACATCTAAAGCTTGTAATATTTCTTCGAGAGTGTCAAAAAACTTGATACAGTATGATGCGTAGAAACTTACCTTCAAACATATAATAATATAAACTATTTTATAAAAAATCGAAAGAAGCAAATTACATGAATGTTCATTTTGTTCACGAAAAATGTAAAACATAACTGATTTTCAGTAAACAATGTTTTTATTCTATGTGATCTTTTGTCGGAAGGATATAGTGAGACATATGCTCTATAAGACCACAAGTTGTGCGGCGATATCCTCTACAAAATTTATAATATGTCAAGTTAAAATGTTACTGAATAAACAATATGTCCCAGCAACTTAAAAAAAAATACAACGCAAAATGATTTCGCATGTGTTTGAGAAAAGTACATACAGAATTATGCTGTATCAGTTCATTTCACTCACTGTATTTCAGAAATACATTAGTTTTGCCAAACATACCTATCAAATATTTATTTATAAGATGAGCAGTAGGGGTTCTTTTTGTTTTTGTTTGAATCCCATATCTTTAGACAATGCAAACACATCGTTATGGAAAGTTTCCAGATTTACATGTTAATCTTTGAGCTTATTTAAAAACGTTTAAAAGTTATTTTACAACAGGTTTCTAACTATATTGTTGAGACATATAGTCCTTTTATAGCATAGAACCTCAGTTAAAATATGGGAGATGCTATGTACCATACACTTATATTTCTACTATTTCAATTTACATTTTTCCCATCTCGGAACAATTTGTGATATATATATATATATATATATATATATATATATATATATATATATATATATATATATATATATATATATATATATATACAGTACAGGCCACGAGTTTTCCCCGAAAAACACGGGGCCCCGTGGACCGAAAGTCCACGCTTTAGCGTGGACCTCGATCAATGTCGGCGTCTTTGAAGTCGGGGTTTCTGTGCACCGTGTAACACGGTGTGTACGCGGTGTATCACAGTGTCACATTACGATATCACGCAGAACTTAAAAAAAAACATATTCATTGTCTTTGTTTAATCAATCATATCAATTTCCTTTTTCTTAAATATTAGTTCTTCATTATCGATATACAGATGTTTGAACAAATAAAACGCCCTAAAATCTAAGATCCGTGCGCTCGTGCCCAGTACCGAAAAGACAAAGTCTTCAAATGTGTACGCACATCCATGTAAGTCGTGTTTCAAAACCTAGTTATACGAGAGAAAAAATGTGTTCAGTAAACTATTATAATGCTTAGAAGGAAAAGTGATTACACTTTCGTAAATAAATTACCTGGTTGTCTTTTCTTTCGATTATATAAAATGTGTTCATTTTAATTACAGTCATTTTCATAAAAAGATTTTTTTGCCGCACGTATGCATTCATATGTCGTATTTATCAGATGCATGCTTTATTTTAGAAATCATTTATACATAAAGAGAATCCTCCAAAAAATATGTCTAAAATAAAATTCAAAACGTGTCAGATACACGCACATAATTCAAAAACTCTCTGATAATTTAGGATTATTGCAATCTGAATTCCTGTAATCTTGTGGAGGTAAATATATATCACACACACACACACACACACACACAAAAAGTCGAATTTTTTGATAAGATATGATTGTTTACTCACTTTGAGGAAATTATTATCCTTTTACTTCGAAGTTTTTTTGCAAACTGCTCTTTACTGATATACAGTATCAAATCATTAATAACTATACATAAATTAGATATATTACATATTTATAAATATAGAGAAGAAATTCTAAAATTACAAAAATTAAGTATGGTATCGTAACACACACACACACACACACACACACACACACACAGAGAGAGAGAGAGAGAGAGAGAGAGAGAGAGTGTGTGTGGGTGGGTGTGTGGGTGTGTGTGAGAGAGAGAGAGTGAGAGAGGTGTTGCTCTACACATGTAGCTTTTATAAAACATTCCAAGGATCAATCATATTTTTAAGAGTGTTCTACGAAAAAATATTTGTAATAAGTATGTTGCTACTTAAACTTAAATACGTCATAAGATAATCCGACAGGGTTTTTTCTTCAAATTCTAAATCTCCAGGGTATACTTCTTGAAGTGTAACCGAATGATACATCTGTAAGAAAAACATATGTCATTCATCGTTAAATTCATTGTAAAATTTTTAAGCGTACGGAGTATGAATAGTTTCAACTAAAGGAATTAAGCAGCTTCATCTTCGAAGGTATGTCGGTTGTAATACTACGATGTATATGTAGTAGACCATATGTATATATGTTTTTAAATTTGGCAATTTTACAAAATGTTGTATTAGGAGAAGACTATCTAAGTTTCTGAACTTGTGTCCGATCCTTTTGACTTTGTCACTAAAATATGTTCAATTCAATTCACAATTCACAGTTCCAACAGAAGAGTGGCGTGTCATGCCTCCTCCACATTCGATGATTTTTTTTTTACTCCTGATCAATGTTTTAAGCAATTCATAGAAGTACTTTATATTACATCAATTCAGATAACTACAATCGTTCTAAAAGAGTGTCGATCGATAGAATAAAAACTCTGTTCTTCAGTGTTAAAAACAGAAAATACATATCTGTCTAATTTCTGAAAAAACGTAAATTAAATCATGATCCATATTTGTGAAGGTGGATAATATATTGTATCAATATTGTGCAGATATCTTTACATTTAAATATTATTTGATAATCGGATATTTTTCCCTGCATGCTAAAAGCTTCTTTATGTCAAATCTTGTATCTCCTAGCTGATGATAAAACGCCATTGAATGGTGGTGGCTAATTTTGTCTGCAGGAGTTCTCGAAGATGGTTTGAACAGCCTTGATAAAACTTCACAGAAATGATACACGTTTTGGTGATGTAAAATTACGCGAAGTGTCGCAAACTTTATGTAAACAAGTTCTGATTGTAACGGGGACATTTACAGACGTTCCCCAAACGCTCCCACTACTCCCTTTGGGGCCCCAAAAACATTCCCTATGTGAAAGCCCTTACCCGATTGGCTAAATTTTGAAGTTAATATACAGAACATCCGCTAGGTGTCGCCACTGCGGGCCACATTTTTATTGGCGTAATCTGCCAAGGGTTAAAATTCTTAAGATTCAAAAGGTTTTTGTCAAAAAATGAGGAAGATATTGAGATTTTTCTTTCAGCCAATCAGAGCGAGGAGCATATGCATGTGCGTGAGTTCATGCTAATTTGACCATGTCATCTTGTCTACATTGCTAATATATCTCTATGTTTTGAGTTTCAAAGTATTTCATTGAAAATATAAAAGTTAAGGCTATATTAAGTATATCAATCATTTCACTTATTGCACGCGCACGCACATGCATGCATTTAAAAAGGTTTCTCATATATATATATATATATATATATATATATAATATTTTTAGAAAATACTTTGACTGAAGACTCACACTCCACAGCAGAAGGTAAAGGGGTAATCGGTTAACACCTATACAGATTGCATTCAAGCAGGATAGGCTTTTAAATCTTTTTTTATTGAGGTTAAGATCATTTGATCAGTAAAGAATTATTCTCAAAGAATATCAAAATAAGCATTGAATTAATATTGTTGACATTCTTTGTATCGTAACACGGACAACTTTCCATAATGCGCATAATTGTTTGGGGTCTTGCAAAACGCCTTCTGCCCGAGAACGTAGTTAGTACTTGTTTTGTTGTATCCTTAACTGGCTCCCATGTTCGCATTTTGATGTAAATGTCGTGTATCCTGAGTGTGGATTCTAATTTCAAATCGGTCAATTCTGTAACTGTCGTACACCAACACATGCATATTAGATATTTTAAATAGCTTATAGAAGCGGGTGTTTCTGAGAAAGAAAGTGTGTCGTAAAAAACCAATATCTTACCGAACCCTCCAACAATGCGTCTTTCGAACTGCTTGAGGTAAACCATAGGAAATATACTTTGATATCATAGGAAATATTCTTTGATATCATAGGAAATATACTTTGATATATCTATTTATATAGGAACCAATTTTAAAGGTATAAAAAGCTTTATTTTTTACTTTTAAAAACCAATTGATATATCGATCTTACTATAAAAGACTTACATTTCCAATGTCATTACTAAGCGGTCCAAAAAGCATTCGAAGATGGACCAGTCGGTGAGACGTTTTGATCACGTCACACTCCATTTAGATTCGTTAATCCTCAGTTAAATAAAATCATCCAACACGGGTCAACAACTTTTACAGGTATTTAATTCGCATTCTTGGTGTTTGACAGTTACAGAAATGACTGAATTTAATTTGATTTGCGGTTAAATGAAATTTATATCGGAATTCCTTGGCATACATGTTACATGCACAACTACACTTTGTGAGTATCATTAGTGTGAAGTTTCACCCATCTGCGAGAACTCCTGCAGACAAAATGAGGTTAACAATAACAACACGTCACGTTTGAAGTGACATAATTTATGATTTGGTTGATCAGTCAAAAGGAAATATTTGCAAAATAAATTTCATATTGTGGTAATCAAACCGGAAACACATACAACACAAAATGTTTCATTATATACAACATATATTTCTGCATTATCTTTCTTTCCTTGTTTTTTTTTTTTAAATCCATACAATTTTGTGCTTGGAGTCCTAAAGTCATAAAACACTAGTAAGTAAAAGGAAAATATATTTTGTTGGACCTGAAAAACAAATCGTTGCATGTGTCTTTTTATTGATTTACCTCATGATCGAATTAGACCCAAAAATTCCGATATTCTATGGAAAGCAAAGGAGGAAATTCGAATTTAAAAACACATTGTTATATTATATAGGTTTTGGAAAATAATAAAATACGATCATGATACGATTAAACAAATGATAAT